GCTCAGGGCTTGCAGATAATAAATATTAATTGAATGAATGAACCAAGTTCATTCATTGTTGATTTCTGCATTTGGAGCTCTCAGCTTCCTACTCTCCTTTAAATTGGGTGGGCAGCTCTGGCTCCACTGGAAGGTTGATTCCAGATGGGTGGTGAAACCAGAAGTCTGGGGATGCCTACTGCCCCACACTAAGATGGGAAATGATGTTAAGAGGGCATTATACAGGATTTTTTTTTTTTTTTTTCGAGACGGAGTTTCACTCTTGTTGCCCAGGCTGGAGTGCAATGGCACGATCTTGGCTCCCTGCAACCTCTGCCTCCCAGGTTCAAGCAATTCTCCTGACTCAGCTTCCTGAGTAGCTGGGATTACAAGCGCCCACCAGCATGCCTGGCTAATTTTTTGTAATTTTAGTAAAGATGGAGTTTCATCATATTGGCCAGGCTGGTCTTGAACTCCTGACCTCAGGTGATCCACCCGCTTCAGCCTCCCAATGCTGGGATTACAGCCACCATGCCTGGACTACAGAGGATCTTAATGAGGGTGATTTCAGGGTTGACACAGAAAGCTCGGCTTTCTCCATCCTGCATGGAGTGAGAAAGCATCCCTGCCTATGTGCATAGAACCATTCAAGGCTTTTGAAAACGTACTGATCTGGTCTGACCCAACAACTGACCCACTTCTCCTGCCCCTTCCTGGTCATTGCAGTAATGTTCTCAGAGCATGTGTCTCATAAGAATCTTCTGGCAAGTTCATGTTTGTGGTCTGCTCTGAGTTGAGACCAGAGGCAGCTTGGATTTGGAATTTGCTTTCATGGCTCTTGGGAGGTGCTAAGCTCTGGTTATTTCTGAGTAACCCCAAAGGGCCCTCTACACTTGGGTGGGCTCCAATTCAGGTCATTCTCCTTCCCAGCCCTCCACTTGCAGTCCGGCAGGGGTGGGCATGAGAGAGGATGGAATTCTGGGTAAATAGTTTGCTCACAGTCAGATGGTCACCCCCACCCAATCTGATCCAGCCCTTCCTGCAGGCAAGGTCATTATCAGCAAACAGCCAGCTGCATTTCCCTCATGTGAATGCTAGAGAGAGAGTTAATAAAAATCTATCTTATTAACAGCCTGACCTACCAGCATTGATCACATTAGAAATGACGCTGCACACACAGTCCCCATTATGTGCATGGCGCAAGGCTCAGCAGAGCTCAAAAAGCCATTTAAATCCCTCCAGGAGTGACTCCTCCAAGGGCCTGAAACATCCCCCAAACTAATAACTCCTGACAAAGCACCGCCAGGGAAAATTCCTTGCGGATTTGAGATTTTCACTTTGTTAATCTCCTAACTCAATAAAGCAAACACTCCCTGCAGCAAATTAAATACTTTTATTAAAGGGTCCCCTCCCCGATTCTCTCTGACATGGGTATTGTGGATCCATAACCCTCTTGGAGCCTGAGTGTCTGTGTGAGGGGCTATCCCCTACTCCCCATAAGAAGGCCAGAATCCATTATGATTTGCTGATTCTTAGATTCTCGAAACATCTGACATCTCTAGCTTCCCTGAGTAGCTCCACTGGCCTGTCAACTGAGGAAACTGCTTTCTCTTTTTTTGTGGGGGTGACAGGCCTCAAATAGCTCTGACCCAGGCACCTCTAACCTTGTAGTTTGCCTGGAGGAGGACCCAGAAAAACTGATCAGGCCATGGTAGGCTTCTTGGCCAATGGTCAAACCCTTCTTCGGACTTCACTAGGGGCTTGCTGATCATACCTTGGACAGTTATCTGGAAACCAGATGGGGTTAGCTGTAGAGAGTAGAAGAGGGTGGAGCAGAAGTCAAGAAAGCTACTCTTCTCTCACATTTTCCTGTCCCCAAGCTGGCCTTCAAGCTACTCCTCTTTAGGATCTGCCTAGAATTGGGTTCGGCCACTTTAACTTCTAGTCATTACTTTCTTTTCACTGCTGGTTGGAGCCAGGCTATCCTGAGGTCCTGATGGCCCTTCTTCCAGGACCTCCTCAGGTGCCATCTTCAGAAAGCCTGCTTTGCAGGGAAACCCACCACTTTGCAGATGGCAACTGCCAGACCCCTTAATGTTTTAAGAGAAGACCCCTTCTAGAAACAGCCTCATGTACAGTTTCTCGGTTCCATCACTGGGTCTGGAGTGCAGAAGGCTTTGTGAATCCACACTCTGAGAGAATAGAGACAATGTGTTTTGCCTTTGGCAATAGTCAGGTCTCTGGGGGCCATAAGGCCCTCTTGGCAAGGGCTCCATGGGTGTGTGTGATAGGCCCTCGTGGAGGGTCTGGTCCTGGCAACCATGGCTAGGAGTTATGGATGCAGACTCTGTCCAGGGTGTGGAGAAGGCAACCTCTCCTTCCTGGGCCTCTGAGAAGACCCTGCCCAGCTTTCCTCCTCTCTATTTGCCCACCCTGGGCAGGAGAGGCCCTCGTTCAGGGCAGGCAGTGGCTTCAGGCCCTGGCCCCTCAGAGGTGTTAAGATATAATAGCCCAGGGTGGGTCTTGGTCATTTGAAACGTCCCCCTTCCCTGTCAATCTTGGATAGGCATCCTGGGCTCTGCAGCTCTCCCCATGTATCTCTGACCCCAACAGAATTGCTTCCAGACCTATGTCCTCCCCTGGAAGTCAAAACAGTCACTGGAAGTTAGAGACAGAAAGAGAAAGGGCTGAGAAAATGATGAAGGGAAGACAAAGTCCATTATCCCTCAAGTGGGGAGTCAGAGAGACCTGGACTGGAATCTATATTCAGCTACCTACATGCTCTGAACCCTGGTGAGCTACTTGTTCCCCTTCACCTCAGTTTCTTATCTATAAAACAGGGATAATGAAAGTTTCGCCCACTCAGGGTCACTGTGCAACTTGTAAGAGACAAGCCTGTGAATCGATCAACACAGTAAGTGTTCAAAGAATGGGATCATAGGAAGAAATTCAATGGCTTCCACACAGGGACCAGGCCCAGCTGTGGGGCTGGGGATTTGTTCCTCTCTGAGGCCCACAGGGATTTATTTGCTAGTCCACCTAGTGGCCTTTCTTCCAGATACCCCTGCAGGGTACCTGGAGTGGGGAAAACTTGGAGTGTCCAAACTTGTGCCTTCTGGCTCTACACAGCAACTACCCAGGCTAGTGATGGAGATGAGCGAGGGAAGAACCCAGGCTGTGGTTGTGGACAGCTCAGGCTCTGGCTGTCACGGTGGGCCCCATGCAGAGACAGACCTGGGCATAGTTGAGTCCATGCACTCTCAACTTGGGCATAATTGCCCCCAAGGAGGCAAAAACTGGTTCTTGGAGGAGTGAAAATATTTTAGATATTACAATGGCTTGTGGTACTCTACAGCTACACTCGGCCTGACAAATCTTATTCCTTTTTTTTTTTTTTTTTTTGAGATAGAGTCTCACTCTGTTGCCCAAGTTGGGGTGCAATGGCACAATCATGGCTCACTGCAGCCTCAACTTCCCCTGGCTCAAGTGATCTCCCACCTCATCTTTTCGAGTAGCTGAGACTACAGGTGTGTGCCACCATGCCTACCTAATTTTCTATTTTGATTTTTTTTTTTTTGTAGAGACAAGGTCTTCCTATGTTGCCCAGGCTGATCTTGAACTCGTGGGCTCAAGCAATCTTCCTGTCTTGGCCTCTCAAAGTGTTGGGATTATAGGCATGAGCCACCGTGCCTAGCTCTTATTCTTTATTTCTAGTGAAAGAAATTAAATTTTAGTTTAATAAAGTTGATTTAAATCAAATTAAATTCTTCTCCTGGGGACAGAGTGGCATCATGTAAAGAAAGTGGAGAAACATCAGCACAGTCTGTCTTCCTGTCCGAAGGTCCCTCCTGCTGCCTCTTCCCATAGCTTTCCTTCCCCTTGGGCTCTTGGGAGCATTGGGCACTGCTGAACAGTCCAGTTAAGTCCCAAGGCCCCTTTGTCCCACGCACTGGGGATATGAGCAGTGCCAACCACTCTTAACCTGCCCTTCCCTTGCCTCCTGTGGCTTCTCCGTGCGGCTCCCCTCCAGCTTCTGTTCTCCCTATATATGGAGAGCTCTCTGTTCCCTGTGCTTTGCTCCATGGCTCCAACTCTGCAGCCCCAAACTCTGCCAGTTCCCTTTTCTTCGGTGGCCCACTAGCCCTCTCCATTTGGATTTTTCCCACCATTCAGACTCGATGTGCCTGGCACACCTTCTCCTTCCTCCAGGAAGCCCTCACTGTCTACCCCAGCCTGCTTGGTACTTTCCCTTTTATAGCATTTAGCTTGAACCATTTTATATTAAAGAACGTCCTGGGTAAAAAAAGTGAGACCTCATTGCTACAAAAAATAAAAATAATTAGCTGGATGCAGTGGCATGTGCCCAAAGTACCAGCTACTTGGGAGGTTGAAGCAGGAAGATCGCTTGAGCCCAGGAGTTTGAGCCTGTGTGCAGTAAGCTATGATTACCCTACTGCACTGAAGCCTGGGTGACAGAATGAGACCCCATCTCTGGAAAAACGACGACGACGATGACAAGAATGCAGTTGACCCCTGAACAACGTGGGTTTTGAACTGCATGGGCCCACTTATACACAGGTTTTCTTCAACCAAATGGGGTCAAAAATACAGTATTCATGGGATGCAAAACCTGCATATATGGGCCAACGTTTCATATAGGCAGTTCCACAGGGCCAACTGGGAGACTTGAATATATGTGGATTTTGGCATCAGCAGGGGGTCCTGGAATCAGTGCCCTATGGATACGGAGGGACAATGGTATATGCTCTTGTATTACTCTCAGAGTTTCAAGGGTGACTGTTCTGTCTTCCCACTTGAACTTTAATTTCTTTGAGGATGAAGAGAAAGTCATAAGGTTCTGTTTGCTCCTTACTTCTGGACACCAAGGAAGGAAGGTGGGAAGGTCTTTGTGGACCAGGAAGCTCTCAAGGTACAAGGCGCCCCTTCCCTCTAGGAGGGTCAGGCAAGCCCAGGCTGTGCAAGACTGAAGTGCCCACCTGCCTCATGGGGCCCCACCTTACCTGGCTGACTCCTTCCACTCCATCTGGTCTCCGTCATGCTGCAGAGTGTCCATCTCTGTGAAGAGGGTGGGGTTGGGAGCCTCATCTTCCTCCCCCAGGATGTCCTGGAGCTGCTCAGCAGCTGGGGACCCTGCAAAAGAGGGGCAGCAGGTCTGCTGAGTGTCCCATGGAAGGAAGGAGGACCACAAGGCCAGCAGAAATGGAGTAGGAGGCAAGCACAAGGGAAAAGCATTTTCTAATTCTGTAAAACTAAGTCCAGCTCCTGGGTGAAGCTGGACTCCTGTCACCATGAATCAGAGATGGGCGAGATACTCTTTAAGATAAAAGGATGAAAATATTTAGTCTGCATTCAGATCCTGGGTCTTGTAGCTGGCAGTGAAGAATGATGGGAAATGGTCGAAGCCAGGGCAGCAGCAAGAACCAGGAACAGAACTAAAGAGAGAAGTGAGAAGCACTCTGATCCAACTTCAGCTTACCACCAGAGGGGTTCTTCTTCCCGCCAGGCCCCAAACCAGCCAACTCCCAACACTGGTCTTGAAAAGGCAGTCAGCCATGCAAAAGGACAGCTTGCACACCCTTGTCCCATGTGGGCCCACTTTCTTCCTGGGCAAGGTGGCAGTCCATTTCCTGAGCCTCCAGCCTGCTTTCCAACTCCCCATTGGAAGTCACTTCCTGGGTGTCTCCCAGGTACCTCAAAACTCAACATCCCTCTCCCAAACACATTTCACCTGTGTTCTTTCTCTCTTTTTCTTTCTTTTCCTTCCTTCCTTCTCTTCATTTATCTCTCTCTCTTGTGAATGCCTACTATGTGCCAATCATTATTCTAGGTATTGGAAAATAAAGCTATGAAGAAGACCTATGTGTCCTTGCTCTCTTAAGCACGTGCTCTAGTGACAGAGACAGATAATAAACAAGTCAACAAATCTATAAATGACCATTTCAATAAGTTGTCTAAAATAAACAAAATGACCAGGGGACCTACAGTACATAGCATGGTCTCAAAAGGTCTCTCTGAGGAGGGGACACTGAAGCTGTGACTTGAAAAATGAGAACGAGCCACTCTGCAGATTTGGAGGAAGAGTGCTCTGCATGTTCCAGGCACCCTGTGGTGGAAAAGTGCTGGTGAGTGTGGTTTAGCACGTGAGCAAGGGATAGAGAGATGGCATGACGTCAAAGTGGTGACCAATGCTGTGACTAAAGGCATCCCTGCCCACCCCACTGCACAGGCTAGACACCTTAGAGTCATCCTTAACTCACCTCCTTTCCCCTCATCTTTACCCTCATATTGAAATTTTTAGGAACACAGTCCATCCTCACTAACCCCACTGCCCTGTTCCGATGCAATCTCTCATTCACTGTCTCCTAGGCCTCATCAGGTCTTGCCTTCCTCCAGCTTCTTTCCTCAGTTCATCATTCCCTTCTGTTCTCACTTATTTCTTCATGGACCTCTACTCTTTTCTTCATCACATCCTCCATTCTTCCCCCTTTGACTTCCCAATAAAACTAGCCAGGCAATGCCCAGACAAGAATTCACTGGCCCAGTCTCCTCTGCAGATGTGTCTGAGGGCTTGGGTTGGGGGGTAGGTGGAGTGGGGATGGCAGCACGGAGTGGTAGTGTGGTGGAACCAAATGGACTTCCAATCCAGCCAGACAAGGGTGTGATTCTCGGGGCTGCCACTTATTCACGAGTGAACTCAGTTGAGTGAGCAGGACTGCTGGGAGGAATACATCAGGTAAGAGAATGAAATGCCTGACACAGGGCTTGGAAGGTAAGAGGTGCTTAGCCCCTCACCACCAACACCCACACCCAGGCCCATAAGACCCACTGTAAAGGTTTCCCCTCAGCAGGTCTCAAGTGCAGCAACCTTCCATGCATCCTTGTCAGCACCCTTCCTGTGTCCCTTGAGGCTGTCCCTAACCTTTGCTCCTCTCTTCAAGCTTCTTGATTCATCTTCCACCCCACTTCACCAAGAAAATAAAGGCCTCCAGGCACGAAATCCATCAACATCCTTTCTTCCAACCCCTCGACTCTTTCCAATCCTTATTTCATCATCTAGTCTTTCTTCAACCTGGATCTTCAACTTCCCTCTCTCCACCCTCTTTCTCTTAGCCTAGAAACAGCTCTTCCTACCCAAGACAGCCTCCCCGACCCTGCCTGTCTCCTTAGCTCTCCTGTTTGCTTTCTCCTTTCTTTTACCCACACTTCCTAAAGTAGTGGTCTGTGCTCATGGTCTCCATCTCCTCCTTGCCCAACCACTACCTGGCCTGCTGTCACTGGCGCAGCCCCCACCACGCTAAGGACATTGACAAAGGCAGAGGTTTCAAACTGACAGTTCAAAGGTGTGTTTAATTCAGGCCTCGCAGAGTATGAAAGTTTTTGGAAGTATTGCTAAAATAAAGAATTGTAAGATTTCATACAGAAATCCAGATCTCTGACTTTTCTTGAAAAGTCAGATGTTCTGATCACTGTGCCCACGATCCTGCTTGGCAACAATCCATGAGAGTTGATGATGGCGCCTTCTTAGGTAAGCATATACTTTTTAGTTTGCCACAGTCTCCACTACTTCTTACTAGTGTCCCATTAATCTCATTTATTGCCATGCACCCAAATTCACAACCCTTGCCCTCAGATCCCTCTTGTTATTTTAATTGTCAAACCAATAAGCTAATAAAATCAATCAAACCAACAGCACTGAGAAGCTATGGTCTGGCTTATCTCTCTGGAACTTCAGAGGTGATGATCGGTCCCTCTGAACTGAAATGTGACTTATGGCTCTTATAACAGGGCAGTTTCTTGATATTCTCCCTCTCTTTGAAGATTCTCTCTCAATATCTTCCCCTAGTTCCTCTTGCCCGGCTAACACTTAAATCTTGATCTTCCCCAGGATTCTGCTTCATCTTGTTCTCTCTTCTCTCTTCACACTCTTTCTGGGCTAGCTCATGTTATTTGTGGTGTCATTTTATAAATGAGGTCACCCTTGTGTCCAGGCAATACACCCATGTGTACTGAACATTCCAGCCAACAACTGGACTGCTCCTTCTGGGAGCTCGGCAGCCTTCTCAGGTCACCCTCAACATATTCAAAACAGCTCTGCCTCCCTTATTCCATCAACCCAGCCCTGCTCTCCTCTGTTTTGATTAATAGCACCTCTAGCCATCTACCTATCTAGACAATGCTAGACTCATTCTTGAAGCTCCTTTTTTTTTTACCATTCATGTCCAAATGGACACTAAGGTCTTTCATTTGCTTCATAAACATTATTTGGCTCTCTCCTTTTTTTCCAACCCATTGCCACCATCTTGGTTCTGGTTCTCATCATCTGCTCCTATCACTGCAATAGCCACTTACTGCTGCCATTGCCTTTGGTTGTCCCATTTAACCCCATTCCCTATGCAGCAGTAGAGTGTGCTTTTAAAACATTTCAGGCTGGGTGCGGTGGCTCACACCTGTAATCCCAGTACTTTGGGAGGCCGAGACGGGCAGATCACGAGGTCAGGAGATTGAGACCATCCTGGCTAACACGGTGAAACCCCGTCTCTACTAAAAATACAAAAAATTAGCTGGGCGTGGTGGTGGGCGCCTGTAGTCCCAGCTACTCGGGAGGCTGAAGCAGGAGAATGGCGTGAACCCGGGAGGCAGAGTTTGCAGTAAGCCGAGATTGCACCACCACACTCCAGCCTGGGCGACAGAGCGAGACTTTGTCTCAAAAAAAAACAAAAACAAAAACAAAAAACCATTTCAAACATGTTCACACAATGGGCTCCTGGGAGTCATGGTTCTCTTTGAATAGCACCATAAAATACTATACATATGAGTTAGAAATCATTTTACTAGCAGAACACACTATTATCTGTACAGAGCTCAACGGACTCATGTATTTAAATGAATTTTAAATTTCTGAATTTTTCTATTACTTTTTCTTTTTTCTTTTTTTTTTTTTTTTTGAGACAGAGTCTCACTCTTTTGCTTAGGCTGGAGTGCAGTGGCATGATCTTGGCTCACTGCAACCTCCACCACCTGGGTTCAAGTGATCCTCCCACTTCAGCCTCCAGAGTAGCTGGGAGTACTAGCTCATGTCACCACGCCTGGCTAATTTTGGTATTTTCTGTAGAGACAAGGTTTCACCATGTTGCCCAGGCCAGTCTCGAACTCCTGAGCTCAAGAAATCCACCTGCTTCAGCCTCCTAAAGTGCCAGTATTAAAAGTATGAGCCACTGGGCCCAGCCTATTCCTTTAACTTACATCCTTTCCACTGTCTTATTGATTGCTGACACTTGCTAGCAGACACCAAATGTTTAAAGAAATTTTATAGACAAAAAACCAACAATTGAGAAAATAACCTTATTTTTTCTTCAAATTGAGAAAACTGTGACTGCTTGATTCTGAGGGGCCACACCAATTCTTCCTGGGATTATAAATCAGTAACTACTCTTTTAAATTTGATGTACCTTGGAGGATGGCATGAAAAAGAAAATAAAAAATAAAATAAAAAAAAAATAAAACAAAATATAGATTTGATTATGTTATTCACCAGTTGAAAAACTTTCCATGTCTCTCTATTGCCTAAAGCCTAGGGGTCAGTGACATGGCTCAAACCACCCCTCGTAATCTAGCCCTAACCTGCCTTTCTAGGTTCTAGCATGTCCCTCACCCAGTCGCCCCGATCCCAGCCACAGCAGACCACACACAGTTCTCTGAAGGGTAGGGCATGCCACTCCTTGGGCCCCTGTGCCTGCCATTCCATAAGTCAGGAATCCCCTTTCCCCTTCAAGGCCAGACAAGAAGGCAAATAAATGGACGGGTCCTGGAGAGAGGAGACAGGCAGAGAGCAGGATGCAAACCAGTCCTGCCTGGGGCATTACCTGCTCCCTGGAACAGCTGAACGCTGGGGTCCCTGGCTGTCGATGCTGCCTCTGGCCCCAGCCTGCTTCCGCTGCTGCCTCCCTGGCTGCTACTTCCACAGGTCCTCTTCTTCACACAACAAACTCACTTTTGTTTCCAGTTAAGCACCAGGGGAGGCATGGGGAGAGACGGGGGGTTTGCAGGGAGAAAAAGAGAGAGAAAAGGAATGTGTGAAGGACTGGGGAGGTGGAGAGAGAGGCTATATGTAGAGAGAATACAGATGTGGT